ACAAAATAAGACAGAGTAGCAGTCAGAAGAGTAGAAAAAAGATGTAAAGTAAGCTCTGTGATCATGGAAAACAAGTCTAGCTCTTCTACTTACTAGCTGTACCACTTAACACCTCTCTGCTGCAGTTTCTGTATCATAAAAATGAGATAATAATAGTTCCAAACTCATTGATTGGGTTGTCATAAGGATTAAAGAAGTTAACACATACAAAGCACTTACCTGGTAAGTGCCTTGTCAATATTAGCTAAGAGAATAGAGATTCTCCAATGTCTATTGTATCCCCTTGCCCATTTTTCTTTACTTTTTGTTTTCTAGCCCTCGGTTAATCTTAGAATAACACTTGACACATTATGACTTTCAGAAAATGGTGAATAACAAAAGAGGATGATGGATTAGAGTCATCAATGGAGTAGGCAATTGCCAAACTCTCTTTTCATAGAGTTGGCTTGAGTGGAAATACCACTGAAGCAAAGCAAGCATAAAATGGTAGAAATAGGTACAAACCATCAGTGACTGGCAGGAAAAGGAAAGAGAGATTACGGTAATGAAAAAAGAAAAGAGAGGCAAGGGAGAGTTAAGCTCAAATATGAAACGTCTGGATACAGATGATTATTACTCATGTTTAATTCCTAGTCCAGACATTGAATTTTACATTATCTCCCTGTATCCTTTTATCAATTATAAAATGTGACAATTATTGGCTTCTTTTTAGTCATATTATACCATAGGAAATAATTGCTTTAAAATAAACAATAACTTGGGAGGCCAAGGCAGCAGATCACGAGGTCAGGAGTTTGAGACCAGTCTGGCCAACATAGTGAAACCCCGTCCCTACTAAAAATACAAAAAATTAGCTGGGTGTGGTGGTGTGTGCCTGTAATCCCAGCTACTTGGGAAGCTGAGGCAGGAAAACCGTGTGAACCCTGGAGGCAGAGGTTGCAGTGAGCCAAGATTGTGCCATTACACTCCAGCCCAGGCAACAGTGCAACACTCTGTCTCAAAAAATAAAAATAAATAAATAAAATAACAGTAAGTTAGCAAATAGGTTTCGGATGCTTAAGCACAATGAAAGTAATATGCTTAAATTGTCAGGGAAACAATTTTATTTTGGTATCTATATCTTGTCTATATGTTCTTTATGGTTAACTGTTTACTATTCTTTGAACATTACCACATTTAATAATCTATTATATAGCCACCATATTTTAATTCAATTATAACCTCCTTAAGCCTTTTGGTATTTGCTTCCTCACAGCCTTTTTGTTTAATTAAGTTCATACTTTTACTTTATTACCAATGGATACAGTACTGGGCTTCTTTTTATACACATCATTGAGACTAGGGTAGCTCTGATACATGAGCAGGAAATAGAAGAGAGCAGGGGATTGAGGCAAATACTGTAGTTTTCTAGTGACAATCAGAAATCATTAGGGACTCAAGTGGCAATAGCAATGGCTGCTTGAAGTACGTAAGGTTAGCTTATCAGGCACAGGGCCTTGTATCTCACATGTTAAGGATTGCTGCTTTTTGCTATAACCAGAGTTGTAAGGAAAACTAGGCACAAGAAAGACATTAAATCAATATTTTTTTCCTCCAAGACTGAGGATAATTCAGAGTGAGAAAGTAAAAATTAGCTCAGAGTAAGACTAAATAGCTGCTTGGTCATTAATTGAGCTGGGATAACAAACCCAGGTAAAACCAGCTGCAAAGTTAATGGGAAATAATATTTCTCCTAAGGATATGCTGACACTATAAAGTATAATAGCAAGGCCCTTCTTTGAGTGTTTGCTTTCTAATTCACTGAAAAACTTTGTTCTCTAAAATCGTATACTCTAGGAGAACGTGCTGCTTGAAATTACATCAGTAAGAATGTAACACAGTACTCTTGCTTGGGGGGATCTACATCATTTTGATACAAAGAAGCAGCCTCAATTAAGGGGCTCCTGAATACAACATTCCACATCTATGGTAACTTTGTAGTTTTCAAGAAACAGGATCCTGAGACTGTTCTACAGTCCCTATTGGATACATATAGTCCTGCTTTGAGTTTATCAAACACTGCTTCCTTTAAATTTCACCTAATCCCATCCTTCCCTAAAATTCTATAAATTTATCTTTTTCTTTGTTTCCTGAGATACCTGTGGTATTCAGTTTCCTTCATTGGAATGTGTATTAGGTGGTTCTTGCAGTGCTATAGAGAAATACCTGAGCCTGAGTAATGTGTAAGAAAATAGGTTTAATTGGCTCATGATTCTGCAGGCTGTACGGGAAACACAGTGCTGGCATATGCTTCTGGGCAGGACTCAGGTAGCTTTTACTCATGGCAGAAGGCGAAGTGGGAGCAGGCACATCACATGGCTGGAGCAGGAGACAGAGAAAGAAAGAGAGAGACTTTTAAAACACCAGATCTCCTGTGAACTCAGAGCGAGAGCTCATTTATCACCAAGGGGATGGCCAATGCCATTCATGAGGATCTGCCCCCATGATCAGAACTCCCACCAGGCCCCACCTCCAACATTGGGGATTACAATTCAACATAGATCTGGGCAGGGACAAATGTCCACATTATATCAGAAGGCATCAGTAAGCTCAACTTTGTTAGACTATAGTTTGACAGGTTTGTCCCTGTTGGTCTTGGGCTAACTGGGTTAGGACAAAGAGGCATCAAAATCTAGTTAAGGTTGATGCCAATGAAGTATAATAGTCTTTTGAGGCAATGAAAATGTATAAGAAAAGTAGGATTCAACAGCATGATGTTATGTGAACCAGAAATGCCACAAAAATGGCTCAGCAGCGTTTGATCCACCACCTTAATTGGGATCTCCCTCTCTCTCTGTGTGTGTGTGTGTCTGTCTGTAAAATGCTCTTCCTCACCAGAAGGAATGATAGTTCCTAGTTGATTCTACCACCTAGGACAGGAAACAACAAAACCTCTTCTTGTTGCCAGAAATTAAAACATGCTTCAAAAAGCTAGTGCAGGCCAGGTGTGGTGGTTCACACCTGTAATCCCAGAACTTTGGGGGGCTGAGGTGGGAGGGTTGTTTTAGGTGGGGAGTTTGAGAACCAGCCTGGGCAACAAAGTGAGATGCCCCCACCCACAATCTCTACAAGAAGACAAAAAGAAAAAAAATAGTAAAAACAGTTGGTGCAGGCTTAAAAACACAGGCAGGCTTACAAGGGCCTTTTGGAACAATTGAGCATTTAGAAATTACACTTAATTGAGGTAAGTTGACACTATAATGATGGTCCAAACTGGGAAGAGAGAAACCATACAAAGCAGTAGCTGTAAAACAAAGGAAGGACTGTATGATAGAATATTTTTAATTTTTAAAATTAATTTCGAGTACATATATGACTTTTCTGTTTAAATGTATGCATAAGTACATACACAGGAGAGAACTGAACAATTCTACAAGTAGAAACTATACCAATTACGGTAAGGGAAGATTAGTACCAGTGAGCACACTCATTACCAGGTAGAGGAAGAGTCCAACACTATTCCAAAATGAGATTCATCAAATGTCTGCCTCTACAAAGTCAACTCTGGTCTCCTGGGAGCCCCTCCCAATATTAATATGATGCCAATAAGGCATGCAAAATGTTCCAAGAAGGTTAACAGACCAGATATATCTATATGTATATTTAACAAGACAATGGTATATAACATTCACCACTCAACCCTCTAAAAGGACAATTTTGGAGAAAGAACATGCTGCAGAAGGTGTGGGCTGCTGGGCAGCTCAGAATCTTGCATCGCTATTCCTGTAAGTGCTGAGGTATTTTCATAGTATTTTAAACCAATACACATATCTGGAACATCATTTATTTCACCAATGAATTATTTCTAATATCAATTATGATAATTAACATCCCCTAGTGAAAGTGGAGATTATAGTGGTTAAAATGCCTGTTGATACATCTACTTTTTTTTTTTTTTTGAGACGAAGTCTCGCTGTGTCGCCCAGGCTGGAGTGCAGGGGCGCGATCTCTGCTCACTGTAATCTCCCGAGTTCAAGTGATTCTCCCGCTTCGGCCTCCTGAGTAGCTGGGATTACAGGTGCGAGCCACCACGCCCGGCTAATTTTTTGTATTTTTAGTAAAGACGGGGTTTCGCCATATTGGCCTGGCTGGTCTCGAACTCCTGACCTTAGGTGATTCATCCGCCTCGACTTCCCAAAGTGCTGGGATTACAGGCGTGAGCCACCGCGCCCGGCCGATACATCTAATTTTTTTTAAAAGGCCCTTTTGTTGTCCGAAGATCATTCGTTAGAATGTCTAGCTGGGTAAATATAACCAATGACAATGCTGACGATATGGAACAGGCACAAGACGTTTGAACAATATGTAGCATAAATTATAACTTATCTAGAACACAAGGTAACAGTGGAAGATAATGAGCTAGGTGGAAGTTACAAATGTTGCCGCAAGTAGTTTTTGTTACTTTACGAGTTCTGGGAGCTTCTCTAACAGCTTTGACAGGAGTGAATCCCTAAGGCTAAACCCAAATCCTTATCTGCCGCCTACTCACACCTTTGTGAGGACTACGATTCCCAGAAGGCAGCGCTCCCTTCACTCAGCCGGCGGGGAGCCGCAGTTTACAGAACCACCTCCCCAACCGAATTTCACACACCTGTCACTTAGGACGCGGCCGGGAAGGCCTCCCTTCGATCCGCGTTCTCCCCATTTTGGGGTGTAGTTCAGATTCCTGAAACCAGTTTTAGCGCGTGGCCGACCGGGAGGCCGGCGAGGCGCTCTAGGCCGAGCGGCTTCGTCTCTATGACCACAAGGGGCGGTCCCTGGTGTCCTGCGCTGGGGCGCGGAAGGGGCGGGCGTCAGTTCCGCGCTGGGCTATCGGGGAACCATGGCTGCCCCGAGAGGTGAGGACTGGGGCTGCTGGGAGTGGGGAGTCTGAGGGGGGCGGCGGCGGTCTAGCATCTGCGCTGGTCCGCGCCTGTCGAGCAGCGGAACACCCTGGTTGCCCACGGCCTCTGCGGCCGGGCTGAGGCGTCAGGAATTTGCGTGGAGCTGCTCCCGGCCGTCCGGGCAGCCGGCCTCCCCCTGCGGCTGCAGTCTCCGCGCCTGACTCCGCGTTTGGCAGGTCGGCAGTCCGAGACCGCGCTGACCTCCACTAGCTGGGAGTGGGTGGGAACCGAATTCTGACAGGCCTGGGTTGCGGCGGACCCGGAGAGGGGCCAGGGCGTGGGTCCGGGGCTGGACCGCATCGCCCAGCGAGACAGGACAGTTCTTGGCCCTGGCCCCGCGACTTCGGTGTCTTCTGCGCCTCCTGCCTTGCGGATGCTCAGAGACTTAAAGGCAGACTCCGGGCGCAGACCCCACGCGGCGGCTGGGCCATGCAACAACCAGTAAAGACATCATTGGGACGTCAAAACAGCACTGAAATCGTAATGAAAGGAAGATAACAATCGTTAACAGTTCCCACCTGTGTGCTGTATGTAATTATAGAGAATGCTGTATGCAGTTAGAAGGAACACTCTGATATTTGTGGTGGAAGGTGAGAGCCACCTCCCTCCTCCTAAGGGATGGCACATTTGGGTGAAGGCGTATTTGTTTACTAATTGGCATTTAAGGAGGGCGAGTCTAATTGACTCCGCACCACTTTTGCTGAGCAGTGTAAGTTGGGACCAGAGGTGGATTTTTTGACTGTGGTGCATTAACTAGGAGAAGTTGGACAACACTCGGATTCTTGCTCCACCCTTCCTCCATAGAACACTTGGCTTCACCCTTGAATAAATATTGAACGAATACCTAAGGAATATCTTCTTACGTGGGTGTCAAGTTATTTTCCCTGTTGCGAGGTCCATGTTTATCATCAGGCCCTGCCCAGGGGCATTGTCTTTAATTGCATATGCTTCTCTTATGTCTTCTTTCTGTTTCATTTCAAATAAGTCCAATCTTAAAAGCCTTTTGTGTAGCAACACAGGAAATAAAGGAAAAAGAAATAGAATTGTTCTGATAACTAAAATGGAATGGGGATAGCAAAATTGATCCGAACGAAAACTTATAAATAACAGAAGTCAAATCATTACTTGAAATAGCTGCAACAATGTAAAGGTTTAGGCTTATTGCCAATACATATTTGTTGAGGCTTGATTGTAATCCTAACAAAATTACAGTTTCTATAGCTTCCGAATATCCACAAAAGATTTATCTGGGACTTCCTGAATTTCTAAGTTCTTAGGTATTACAAGTAATGTCCCCATAAACTATAGTAAAACGTAACTGAAAAAAATTTTAAACTGTAAGTTTCTTTTGAGGGACATTTCCACACAAATACTGTGTAGGAGTAAACAGAACTTCGTGAGAAGCAGAGAACAATGCAGGGTTAAGATGTGGCTGCCAGTTGAGTTGTTGGCTAGGTTTATAGTTACTGGCATTGGGTGTGGTTTGAATGATTTGCCCAATTTGAAGTGATTACATATGGACTTTTGATATTACCCTAAAATAACTGAAATTGCTAATAACTGAAATTTTATACTGGAGAATTTGTGAATGGAGTGAACAAGAAATAGTTTAGTCTGATGTTAAACTGCCAGAGAAAATCGTACTTAAAAACATTTAGTATTTAAAAGTTGAAATACATTTAAAACTGGTATTCCATATCAAAGCCCAATCTGTTTTGCACATTCCTAAACTTATTTGATTACTCTTCCACTTAGATCAGTAGTTTCAAGAGTATAATATATATTCCTATGTAATCACTATGCAAAAAGCTATTTTTTCAAGTTAGTGACAATATTATAAGTCAAAATATGTTTGTAGGCCATCAATATTTGGTTTAGTGTTTAAATATTCACTATGTTGTTTTTGGAATCAGGAACCTATGCAATACCTAAAATAAAGTACTTTTTAGTTTATCAGCCCTAATCTCTGTTATTTGTGAAAATGTTGATAATCTAGGACATGAGTTGTCAAACTTTTCCTGTAAAGGGCTGGATAGTCTCTTCATAACTACTCAGATCTGCTGTTGTAGGGGAAAAAAGGTAGTCCGGATAACTTAGAAACAAATGAGCATGGCTATGTTCTAATAAAACTATTTATGGACACTAAAATTTGAATTTCATGCAATTTTCATGTATCACAAGATGTTACTACATTTTTAATCAAGTATTTAAAAATGTAAAACCATTGTGAGTTCACAGGCCTCATGTAAACTAGTGACATATATAGTTTGTTCACCCCTTATCTAGAAGATGGGGAGTGCCTTCTCTTCCACTGATTAAAGGTTATTGCTGTTTATTTTTGCAGTCATATTTTTTCCCTTGTGTAGGAAAGTTTTAGAACGAAGGAATTATTATAGTGATCTCCTTCACTTCCTTTTTTATAAACACTGATTTTTGGCTCCTCAGATCTTTTGGAAAGAAAGTTTAAGCAGTTAAAAAATATTTCTTCTGTTTTACTTTTTATTTAAAACCTGATATGATTTTTAAAAATTGCCAACAAATCAGAAAAGATTCTTTAATTCACTCGGGAAAATATTTATATTGAAGAACCTGTTTCCTTGGAAGTTCCAACCATACCGTATCTAATCTATTTGAAACTCCTGTTTTATTTTCCTAGGAAAACAGTCTTTGAATTGTGATTAGGCTCCGAAAACAGTGAACAAAATTGTACTTAGCATATAATGTAGTTAAAGTAGCAGGCTGGAGTCACCCGGTGTCCTTCTGGTTCTTAACCTGGGGTTGTCAAAGTATGGCTGTAGAAAGCCTAAAATATTTGTTTCTGGCCCTTTACAGAAAAATTTGCTGATCCCTGTTTAACCTTGAGCCTAAAGATTTGAATGGAGCTTAAGGGGACTATTGGATAATAGGTGGGAGTTGGGTAAGGAAAGTAGAAATAGTTTGATCCTTGGGTGATGGCAGGTTCTGAGCAGGTCTGGGAATAAGGAAGTATGAGGGAGAGTTGGTACCCAGTGCTTCTGGTTTTACCAAAGGTCCTGGACAGGCTTTGGTGCCTGAGAGATGGCTGCTGCTCAGATATACTTGCAGGTAATTCTTGAGTGTTTGTATGTTTCCTGCATTTCTAGTTTTCTAGAGCTGTGTTCTTAATATTCTTTTCCTGTGTTTTGAATTATTGTTTTGTATAATGCAGTGAAATGAGTGGCTCGATGTAAGTTCTTATTGTGATAAAGTTTTATATTAAGCCCCACTCATTTCTCAATTATTTTCTTTCTGCTGCCTTTAAATCTAGAATATACATTGCTGCAGTTGGTTTCATGCTTTGTATCCACAAGTTTGTAATCATAAAAATATTTAAAATATGTGCTGGGGCCAGGCGTGGTGGCTAATGCCTGTAATCCCAGCACTTTAGGAGGCTGAGGTGGGAGGATCACCTGAGGTCAGGAGTTCAAGACCAGCCTGGCCAACATGGTAAAACCTCATCCCTACTAAAAATACAAAAATTAGCCGGGTGTACTGGCAGATGCCTGTAATTCCAGCTGCTCAGGAGGCTAAGGCAGGAGAATCGCTTGAATCCAGGAGGTGGAGTTTGCAGTGAGTCGAGATCACGCCAAGATCGTGCCACTGCACTCCAGCCTGGGTGACAGAGTGAGACCATGTCCTAAAATATATGTCCGGCGTGGTGGCTCACACCTGTAATTCCAGCACTTCAGGAGGCCGAGGCGGGTGGATCACCTGAGGTCAGGAGTTAAAGACCAGCCTGGCCAACATGGTGAAACCCCATCTCTACTAAAAATGCAAAAAATTACCTGGCCGTGGTAGTCCACGCCTGTAGTCCCGGGAGGCTGAGGCACGAGAATCGCTTGAACCTGGACAGCAAGGTTGCAGTGACCTGAGATTGCGCCACTGTACTCCAGCCTGGGGGACAGAGTGAGATCCTGTCTCCAGAAAACACCCACCACCACCACCAATATATATATATAATGTAATTTATAACATCCTGAACTAGAATCAGTATGCTACATAGTCTTGCAATTGGGGCATTCCCCAGGAACAAAACGTATGCCTAATTGGCTGATGTTTAAAGTCAGCTATGGTGTGTGTGTGTGTGTGTGTGTGTGTGCGCGCGCGCGCGCACGCGCGCGCGCGCGCTCATGTAATTGGCAAGCATTTTGAAAAAATTTTTAAACATGAGTTTCAGAAAATATTTTGTGCTTGGAATTGGAAAGTATTTTTGGGCTATAACTAGTTTATTAACTTATATATACATATATTGTCTACTAAGTAATGTCTTTGTTGCACGTGTTTTCCAGACAATGTCACTTTATTATTCAAGTTATACTGCTTGGCAGTGATGACCGTGATGGCTGCAGCCTATACCATAGCTTTAAGATACACAAGGACATCAGACAAAGAACTCTACTTTTCAACCACAGCCGTGTGTATCACAGAAGTTATAAAGTTATTGCTAAGTGTGGGAATTTTAGCTAAGTGAGTATAAATACTTATAGTGTGTTAAATTATTTTTCTACCTGGTGAGGGTATTTGTTAGAAAATTCAAGCTACATCTTTATATGTTTAATTGCTCTGGGCCAGTGTTTCTCAACTAGGGGTGATTTTGCCCCCCAGAAGATTTTTTAGTTGTCACGACTTGAGAGATGCTACTGGCATCTAGTGGGTGGAGACCAAGGATGCTGCTAAACATCCTGCAATCCCCATGACAGCCTCACAACAAAGAATTACCCAGCCCCAAATGTCAGTACTGCTGAGGTTGAAGAATGCTGCAGTAGAGTAGGAGTTGGCAAACTATATCCCATGGGCCAAATCCAGCTTGCTCCCTGGTTTTGGTGTAATGGAGACTGACCGGCTTGCAAAGCCTAAAATATTTACTGTTTGACCCTTATAGGAAAACATTACTGACTTGTGTTTTGGATGAATATAATAATAATAATATTTCTTGAGTGTTTCCTGTGTTAAGTGCTAGGCACTGTGCTATGTGTTTTTCGTGTTTTCTCATTTACTCCTTACACATTTTCAAGGTAAGTACTTTACCCGTTTTATTAACACAGCATCTGAGGTTCCTTAAGATTACACTGTTAATATGTGGCAGCACTGGGCTTTGAATCAGAAACATCACGCAAGAATTGCTTAGCTAAGGATGTGGTATAAGAGAGAGTTAAGAATTAGGGGCATTGGAGGAGATAGACCTAATTTTAATCCTAGACCAAGATTGTGGCTGCATACACACTTGTAACCTCTTTAAGCTTCAGTTTCTTCATATTTTTAATTTGAGAAAATAGTATGGGGTGGTGAAAATTAAATTAAATCTAATAGGCAAATTATTTGAGGAAAGATTTATGAGACAGGGACCTATTTGAGTCATTGGGGCAGTTAAGAAGTCATACAGGTTTCAAGATGTGTGTTGGTGAGTGAAGGGAAGCAGGGAGGAATAGTGTTGTCTGTAGGCTTTTATGTAGAAACAGACACATTACATTTAAATATTGAAATGTTACAAGACATTGTGATTGCTTCAGCTTCAGCAATATGTGATGAGACAGTTGATAATGCAGCTACAAGCATGGCTATCATTTTGGGAAAGATATCCAGTGAAAGTGTTGAAAATTGGTTCTAGATCTTGAAAAGGCTTATACTAATCCACTTGAAGTAGTTGGAATATGAAAAAGATGTGTTATAAATAAAGTTTCAGTGCCGCAAAAGAAATAGCACTTGAATACAAAATTTTCTTTTTTTCTTCTCAGCAAGGCAGTTTGCTTCTATAGAAGGGTGCACCCTCACAGATGGAGCAATCGTGAGCGCACACCTGGACAAGGGAGGAAAAGGGGGTCTTATTCCTGATGCACGTGACCCCTGCTACTGTGTCATTCCCTATTGGCTAGGGTTACACTGCACAGGCTAAACTAATTCCAATTGGCTAATTTAAAGAGAGTGACAGGGTGAGTAGTTTGGTGGGGAAAATGGTTATGGCAGAGCAGGAAATCGGAATGAGTCATAGTAGAAAATGAGCAGGTAATCTGAATGAGTCAGGGTGGAGCAGGTAATCGGAATGAGTCAGGGTGGAGCAGGTAATCGGAATGAGCCAGGGTGGAGCAGGTAATCAGAATGAGTCAGGGTGGAGAGGGTAATCGGAAAAGGTTGCTTTACCAGGAAGTTATTTCAAAAGTAGAAGGCAAAGAATCGAACATACTAACATATTGATTCTTTGAAGAGAAATTTAGAACTCATATCTTAACAATCCCCTCCTCTTGCATTTTCTTTACAGCTCTTTCTCTTCAAACTTCTTTAACATGTCTTGGCTTAGTTCTGCTTGATTTTCCAAAAGAAGAAGCTTCTCTCGATAAGGTGGAGGACAGTTAAGGGAGGTTTTAGTAAGTGCCATTTCTGTGAGCCTCTGCACCAACCCACAGATGCATGGTATGACACAGCACCCGACAAGAATAAGTACACCCGTTACGGCTGCGAGGGAAGTAAGAATTGAGGTCGTTATTCCTTTCCATTTACCGAACCACTTTTTTAGCCATCTTGTAAAGGGGTCATTTACCCCTGAGTTGCTGGCTGACTCACTGGACAGAGCAGTCAGACCTTGCAATGCCTTTGTTATACATCCATTAAGGGTGGTGGTGTTTGGGATGAAGTACAACATTGAGTTTTAATCATGATGCAAACTCCTCCTCTTTCTGCTAATATCATGTCTAAGGCTATCCTATTTTCCCAAGCCATCTGGCAGTTAGCCCCTAATTGCTCAGCTGTTCCTTTAACAGCATCTCTAGTTTAGTTAATAAATCACTGTTGGTTGTAATAGATGTAGTTTATTCAATCTGTTTTTATTAATTGTCACCCACCAAAATATTGACTCAAATCCTGCAGCTATTTGATTTCGGGCTTTAAATTGATCTGGTATTCCCCATGGGACTCCAATTGCGTCTAAATAGACATGAGAGTTGAACGACCCATAAGGAGCTTCTGTCGCTTTACAATGTCATATTTTCTTCCTCTGGTAGATGAAATGCCAGAATAAAAGGGATAGCCAGTTGAACTAGAGCATAAGTACTGCTCTAATTATTTGGCAGAGTGTCCAGTTAAGGTCCTCCAAAATACCACCATACATCCGCTCAGGGATAAATAAGGGCAGATTGATGGGTCAGCTCTTGGAAGTGCCAGACTTCACTGCATCCTGTTAAGTCTCCAAGAAATGCCAAATTTTTCCCCTTGTCATTGGAGACACAAGGTAAAATTGGTTTTAGAAGATGGAGGCTGGATAGCCCTTGGGGGCTGACCTGCAGGGTGTTGGACTTAAGGAAATAGCAGAGATAGCACAATTTGTTATTCCAGGCAGTGGAATCTTGAAAAAGAGCTACCATGCACTCCATGTCCGCTTGAATTGAGGACCAGTTTCTGCATTGCTGAGAGCTCGGGTTATTCCTCACACTGGGTGGGTCCTGATTTCTCACCCCTGAGGCTGCCACAAGGTCTCTGGTTCTCACGAGAGAGAACCAGAGACCGCCCCTGGAGGGGAATGTAATCCCAGATGAGCCCCCAAATTGTTATAAAGTTTTGGTGCCGCAAAAGAAATAGCACTTGAATATAAAATTTTCTTCTTTTCTTCTCAGCAAGGCAGTTTGCTTCTATAGAAGGGTGCACCCTCACAGATGGAGCAATGGTGAGCACACACCTGGACAAGGGAGGAGGGGGTCTTATTCCTGACACACGTGGCCCCTGCTGCTGTGTCATTCCCCTGTTGGCTAGGGTTAGACTGCACAGGCTAAACTAATTCCAATTGGCTAATTTAAAGAGAGTGACGGGGTAAGTGGTTTGGCGGGAAAAATGATTATGGCAGAGCAGGAAATTGGAATGAGTCAGGGTGGAACAGGTAATGGGAATGAGTCAGTGTGGAGAGGGTAATCGGAAAAGGTTGCTTTATGAAGAAGTTAAGTTTAAAAGTAGAAGGCAAAGAATTGAACATACTGACATATTGATTCTTTGAAGAGAAATTTAGAACTCATATCTAACAGATGAATAAAATACATGGCCAGACTATGGGCCATTAAGAGTGATATGAAGAGTTAAGAGGAGCAGCAAATGAAAGGGCCTAGAGCTTTATAATGGTCTTTTAGATTTAGTGTTTGCAAAAAAGTAAAATATTTTCCAGGTACTCTCAGCGTTGTCATTTCTTTGTACACACATTAAAATCGGTAATTCAAAAAGAGTAAGTAGATGAAAGGCAAACAGGATGTTACGTAGTCTGTTAAAACACAGGTTGGATGTAAGTGCTGTGATGGAGAGGCTTCTAAATTCCAGAAAATAATTGTTACACAAAAATGTGATAATTTGTTATATACACAGGAAACCAAAGTTGATTGATGTTTGAATTTATATTTGCTTGAAAATTCTTTCCCATATAATGTTAAAATAATTGTGTAGAGCTAAAAAAAATGAAATTAGACTTTTTTCTTTGCTTTCAAGTTAGAGAAGACTTTATCATCTCACAGAAAGGATGACAATTTCAGGATATTATGGGAGGCTGTGGAAGAATTATATTAGAAATAACTAAAGGTTTAGAACTTGAACTTTCTCTTCAGAGGAGAAAAATTAAGAACTTAGATCTTGGCCAGGTGTGGTGGCTCACACCTGTAATCCCAGCAGTTTGGAGGCCAAGGTGGGAGGATTTCTTGAGCCCAGGAGTTGGAGACCAGCCTGTCAACATGGTGAGACTCCATCTCTACAAAAATATAAAAAAATTAGTTGGGTGTAGTGGTGTGTGGCTGTAGTCACAGCTACCTGGGAGGCTGAGGTAAGAGGATTGCTGGAGCTTGAAAGGACCTGCAGTGAGCCATGATTGTACCACTGTACTCTAGCCTGGGCAACAGAGCAAAACTCTGTCTCAGAACAAGAAAAAAAAAATTAGAAGAACTTAGATCTTGATGATTAAAATAGCGTATTTCCCCCATATTTCCAGAAAAATACTGCACAGTTAATGTAAAACTTAGTAACATTTGCTCAATGTTGATTTGAGTTTTCTGGAGAATGAATACAGGGAAAGGAAAAGAAATTACTATTTAAATGGAAAAAAACCCATTAAACTTCATTTAAAACTATGATTAAATGAAGTAAAAGCTTCTTCCTTTTTGCCCATTCTTTACACTGTGATAAAGTATAGTAACTTTATAGGGTTGATACAAATATATACTAGAACTTCAATTTTATTGGAACTGTGCAAAGCTTAACCTCATTATAGAGCAGTCCATTTGATGGTTTGTTTATTTAGTATGGTCTCTGGTGCTGTTTGCTCAGTAATATTCTTTGCTTAGTGAATAGTCTTGGCTAATTGTTAAAGTAAGTACATATATTATACGGGAGTGGGAGGCAGGGGCAGAAACTTAGCAAAGTAGCACCTGAAACCGTGTTTTGGTTATAATTATGGTTCGCTTATATAATAACATATCACTGCCATATTCAAATCTGTGTTTCATTCC